TGCTTTGAAATACAAATTAAGCATTCCATACAGGCTGTAAAGTGGCATGACTTATCAATATGATTTCTTTAGTATACAATGCATCCATAAAACACTAAAATGTTCTATAATTTCCTTACTAATCAGAATTAAAAAAATCAGCTGTATTTCTAATCAGCATATTAATTGTTCCGATGATAAAATCAAATCTGATGGCTTGTTACAACAAACCATGCTAATCACCCCTGATGAACATTTCCAACTTTTACACATTGAAGTTCTAAATCAAGAAATGTGCCAAACAACACCAATGTATTTGAAGCACATCTTTCCAGTTCTAGATATCCAGAGACCAGAAAACAAGGATTTGACTGAAACGTGGAGTGTTAGTACAGTGTCAAAAAAGATGCAACAATTTCTAGTTATCTTTGATTTTAACTTAATTATGGACAAATAATCTGTTTGCTGCTTGCAGACTTTTTGGAGCACGTGAAGAACAATGGATCACAGCCTACAAACATTCAAAATATTTTCCTCCCAACAGCCCAGAGAACAAGCAACCAATGTCAATCCTGTTTTCCACACAAACATCTTATATCAACATTTTGATCTTTCTGCATTTCATCATGGACATCAGCATATTTGTTTTTCAAATTATGCAGAAACCTGCTTAGGCTATGAACTAATGCCTGTCTCACAGTCGTTTAATGACAGATAGCCTGATTTAGGCTACAGCTGCTTTTCTAGAGCCAAGCTGGAAGACACTGAACCATGTCTGAGAAGACTATTATTCACTTTTATTGCAACGTTTCCCCCAAAAAGCATGCATGCATGGATACCTAAATACACACAATAATCAAATACTTCAGAAAATAGTACAAAAGGTTCTGACACAAAAGTTCAAGCCTCTGAACATTTTACCAGTCAATGATACGATTCCATGCATAGACATGTTGTACTGTATTGTTAACAATGGAGATATAGACCATGAAACGTTTTTTTTTTTACAGCGATACTGCATATGTTTTGGCCAAGTTATATGCTTGTTGAACATGCTTTATAAAATGGACAGGTGCAGACTATTTGTGGAGACATTATGCACCTGAATAAAAATTAAAGTATAATTTATGCAAAGTAACTGACAGGAAAGACTGAAATAACAGACTGCTGCAAATATCCTACAGGATTCCTTTGTTTTGAAAGAGGTTATAGAAAATGTCTAAGATTTGACTCATAAAATAAGGCCAAGGGTAGTTTCTGGTTCCTTGTAAGGGCAACTGCATGTGTTCAACATAAAACAAACACTAGCAGCAAACAAAATAATTCATAACTCCTTTAAAGCCCAAACTCCACTCAAAGCAGCACCCTGTATATCAGCTGAGACAAGTAGTCTGTTTCCTCAATGCCTTCATAAAGAAATATAGAAGCCTACATTAAGAAACATTTACAGAGTTGTATCTACCAGCAAAAAACACCCTGGTTTAATGATTCCTTATGAACCATAGGCACCTTTTTTTGCCAACAACCATCCATGTTCACATTTCAGTTCAATTAACAATTATTCAATTACTTACAGCTTTCACACTACTTGTAAGCTGATGTGTCCGAGGCCCCCTAGTGTTGGTCCTGTGGTCATGACAACCTCTGACTTCACTTCAGCTGAAGACCATCAATCCACCATGGGACTCCTGCCCTGTTGCTTTGCTTTTCTTTCAAGAAAATACTTTCAGCACTGTTTTTTCAGTGGTATTAGACATTAAAAAACTAAAAAATTGAAAGTAGAACATTATTCACTTCTATTGCCTGTACGTTTTTATTTGGCTTGAACCACAGTTATGAGCTGAAAATAAACAGTGGGCAAGAGGGTATGACACTTGCAAGTGACACAGCTCTTCTGAGCTTCTTGGCTCAACTGTTACACACAGCAATGCATCACAGATGATCACCGTCAAAATATCCTGTCTTTAATCCAGGAATGCATATGACAGACAAGTAGAAGCCAATAAGTTCTATAGCAAGTGTTTTAGGCTCAATTCATGGGGAAGGGTCCTGATTTGGCTGCACCTGAGCTCTCAGCTACATTGTTGGTCTATTTGTTTTAAGTAGCTGCATGGTTCAGCTCCTGACCTGGCTTGATAAAGGCGATTTATAGGCAACTGTAGTTTACAATTGAAGTTAATATGTATTTTGTAAGAAATCAACTGTATAAAACCTTAGATAAATCCTATGTAGGTCTTAGAAAATAATTAGGTTAACTGTTTAATTGACTACTGATAGTTGGGGGATAGGTGACTAAAAAAACTAACTCCAACTCTGGTCCTGGAGACACCCAATGCAGTAAGGTTTATAGGTCACTATTAAATCCCAAAGTTCTATATAATTCTAACAAGGTTACTGTGATGAATTATACAGGTTATGTATAGTTTACGTAATCCTGGAGTTATTGGAAGCTACATTCTGAGTAGGCGTACTCTTATAATAATAATTATAATAATTGCTTACACTTATATAGCGCTTTTCTGGACACTCCACTCAAAGCGCTTTACAGGTAATGGGGACTCCCCTCCACCTCCACCACCACCAATGTGCAGCATCCGCCTGGATGATGCGACGGCAGCCATAGTGCGCCAGAACGCTCACCACACATCAGTTATCAGTGGGGAGGAGAGCAGAGTAATGTAGCCAACTCATAGATGGGGATTATTAGGAGGCCATGATTGGTAAGGGCCAATGGGAAATTTGGTCAGGAAATTTGGCCGGGGTTACACCCCTACTCTTTTCGAGAAACGCCCTGGGATTTTTAATGACTACAGAGAGTCAGGACCTCAGTTTTACGTCTCATCCGAAGGACGGCACCTGTTTACAGTATAGTGTCCCCGTCACTATACTGGGGCATTAGGACCCACATGGACCGCAGGGTGAGCACCACCTGCTGGCCCCACTAACACCTCTTCCAGCGGCAACCTTAGTTTTTCCCAGGAGGTCTCCCATCCAGGTACTGACCAGGCTCACACCTGCTCTTCAACACTCTTTAACCCTAAAGGTCAAAGTTCTCATAACTAAACATATTACTTAATTCATGAAGACTGTTTTCAGTCGTTATACACAGGTGCCCTATAATGTTTACTACAGTAGATTGGGACTTTGCAGAACCAGCAATGTAGAGCTCTTTTGTTTGAGACCCCGTTTCCTAAAAACACCTTTATCAAGCCAAGTTAGGAGCTTAACAATGCAGCTACATAAAAAATAAGGAACAAGTAAAGGTTTATTCCATGTTGTAAAGAGAAGAAAAGAAACACAACATTTCAGCTGTGGGGCCTTCTTCGGGACAGCCGAAACCTTGTATTTCTTTTCTTCTCTTTTCAGCATGGAATAAAACTTTACTTGTTCCTTTGCAGCCTACACATGTTGACGCAGCCAACTACTTGAACTAAATAAAAAATTGACCAATGGGAGTGGGAGCTCAGATGGAACCAAACCAGACATCACCAGGAACCTTCCCCATGAATTGAGTGTATAATTGGACTACATTTTACACAAGAAGTCTGGAAATGCTATATTCCTACATACAGTATATACAGTAAATGGGTTACCAGCAACTGTACTTTCAAATTCACCATTGGCTTGAAAGTATGATTCTCGAAGTTTGTGTCACGCTATATTTAGTGTCACAGTGATTTTAAATCCATGAAAAACAAGACTAGACTAAATTATTTCAATTGTTTTCTTTTTATTGGATAATTTACCTGTTATTACAGGCTTTATTTCTTGGCAGTTTAAATTTGCCTATGAAACATATTAAAAGAATTTTACTGTACGTGAATGCCAGTAGGTCTTAATTCAGTTTACTAAGGACTTTACTTCCACAAAGCTGACATTTGTTATGAAGGTCTTTATCATTATGGGTTACATATCTACAGATCTAAAAAAAACAAGTGTGTGGTGTTAAATTGGGCAAAGCAATGAAATCCAGAGGGGCCACTGGTGTTTACCTGATGTGAAGATGGTAGACATACATTTTTGAGACAAGAACTAAACAAGCTCAACTAAATACTGTTTATACACAACAGACATTCAAACGTGGCCAGAGAAAATAGGAAAGCTAAACTGAGCATCCAAGATGATATCTTTTAAAAAGTGCTTTAGTTCTAGATGAAATACAAACAAACATAAGTCTGCAATAAAAAGGACACTCATTACAAAAGAATCTTTAAAATAAACAAGAACCTCACAGGGAGTATATGGCAGACAGCAACATTGCTACACAAACACAACACTTTAAATAATGGATAAAATTTGAACCAGCTGTGGTTTGTGTCCTTATGACTTCAGCAAGGACTCTACTGTCCTCAACATTTGCCAGTGAAGACAGAGGGCCCAGAGGGTCGTTCTCAGATGTACCATAAAACATCACAGCCACTGCATGAATTGAGGCTGAGATAAGTAACTAACATTTACACCTCAAATTATGAGCTGGAAATCAAATACAACACATTGTAAACACAAAGAGACTAGTTTTAAAGCCTCACCCCAAACCGAAGAAAATAATTTCCTTGAGAAGAGGAAATGTTACACAGCTCATCTCGCTTTTTAGTAACTAATTCAAGGACGGTTAAAACAAGAGTTTAAAACAGTTGTGAATTCACTCTTTTTAGGAATCGCAGTGCCAGAAATCCTACTGAAAGTGATGGTTTATGGTCTCTCCCCACTGCCCCGTGTTTAAAGAATCCAACTCCTTTGCCTCACACTTTCACAGCCTCCTTCTCCACCCCACTCACACCCCTTTTCATTTCCCTCGTCTGCGGTGTCTGCTACAGTGCCTGCCTGCCTGCCTCTCTCCAGGTCTACCTCTTCGACTGCCCATCTCCTAAGAAGGACTGGGAAGCTCCACCCACCTATTCATAAAAGCCAAGTACAGGCTGCCAGTTACTGATCAGACCGCTTTCCCAGTTCTCTGCTTGCAGTGATTGCTCCTCTCACTGGAGCTTGCACAGATCAAGGTAAGCACCTTTTTTTTTTTAGTTGCCACCCCATGTGTTTCACAGAGAAACCGCTGTTTGCAATTGGATGCCCCAAAATTCCACCTGTTCCTCTTCAAGCTTTTTGTCTGCTTTCCATGTGTTTTTTCTTCCCAACTATGAAAAAGAGATCTGACTGATCAGCCTCTATACCAGGGTTGCCCAGGTAAGGAGATTCACAGCTGCTTGCAATGCATTACCATTTTGAAGACCTAAAGACAGTGCCTGAAAGCGTGCTTTATTCGGGAGTTGAGGTTAGAAATCACTTTATTTTTTGTTAACCGCTAAAAGCTGCTGTGGTTTAGTGTGAAAGTCATGCATGAGTCAGAACTTGCCGGCAAGAATGTGTTAATTTCATCTGAAATACCAGTATCCTCTGGTGAGAAAAGAGGGTTTCCTTGGAGCTCTTTTCACTGACAACATTTATTTGTATGGTGGTGGAGGAAACCACAAATAGATGGCATTGTGATCTGTAAGCTTTTGTGTTATGGGAAAGGAAAGGGTATTTAAAATTGCAGTCAGTAAAAACTGATTTCCTGTACCATGAGTGTAATATGGATAGACATATTAGAACTACACAGACTAATTAGTGAATCACCTGCCAATGTTAAAGAGAAGAATAAGAGATTCTCTAGAAAGATAAGAGAACCTTTGCTTTATTAGATAATAAATTGATCAAGTGGTAAACTTAATTACGCAATAAATTTTAATCAAATTCTTGCATATGTCGATTACAGATTTGGTTTTACTTTATTGGTATTTTTATGTATAATAAAAAATCAAGAATTAAAGGTAGTCTTGAATATGAGCAATGAGCCAAGATGGACCGAGATTATTACTGTCAAAAGGGTAGTTGCATGTAAAATGTAAGCCCATGCCAGTATTTTTAAAATGTTGATGATACTGTGTATAATTGCCGTCACATGTATTTGCTGTTGTGTTTCTCTTTGCTGCTCATAACAGTGAAGGTTTTGATACTATTGTTTTTCTTAGCCTCTTGACATAAATTGCCTGTCTCCCCTCTTTGCTTGCCAGAATTACATGGCATGTGACCTCATGTGTCTGCGGAATGATATCTCTGTACCGGTTCACTAGAAAAAAAAAAACGTCCCCTTTCGCATTCTTCTTCCACAAAGGTGCTTTTTTTAAAGGTGCAGAATTTGAAACTTCAGTGTGGTCTCCCCTCAGCTGCACTTTCTCTGGGGGAAAGTCAATTTCCTCAGGAATTTTGCAGCTAAACCTTAACATGTGCAGTGTGTGAACTGGGACCAGTGTTCTGTTTGGTGCTTACAGACAGTATGGGTGTTAGAATCTTGAATGGTTAACTCCTACTGGATACCTCTGAAATGCTGTATCTACATATGGAGTGGATCAGAGGATTCTTAGAGACAGCACTGATCTCCCTCCATCAATGCCAATGAATTGGCTGAAAGCAGTAAACAAAATCTCTGTACTGTATCTAGCATGTGGTATACACAGCTTTTCTAGCCTGTGACTGCATTAATGTTTAAATGTATTAAGTATAGCATGCCTGTAACAGTAGGGGATCTGCACTATGATTTAGGGCATGAGAGAATGATTTTTGATAGAAAGTTTTATCTCTATTTAAAAAGATGCAGCTCTTCTTTTCTTCTGTACTTGCAGTTATTATACAAATGCCTTTGAATAAATATGTAATGCATCCCGTCTTAAGAAACAATTTGGCACACTTTTTTAAATTCAACAGTGATTCACAAAATTGCACAATCAGTCCTATAGGTTCTATTATTAATTCAGCAAATATGCTCATGCATCCTTGGGATTCTTAAAAACTGGTACATTGCATAATATTCTTAGAGATTAAATATTCTAAGAGTTATAAAATTTGGTATTCCATACTTTCTTAAATCATATTTTGTTTCACATACAGTTGTGTCCTTAGAATTTAAAAGATGATGGAAAGGAAAATATTATTGTGAATGTCTGTATGATAATATCCCTTTATTTTATTCCTAACACAGTGCTCAGAATTCTCACTCTAATAATATATATATAATAAGGGAGAAGCACACACAGGTTGTAATCAAAATGGATTATGTAGGATTCTTATTTTGCAATTCCAAATTATTGAGCGGGTATTTTGTACCTGTTTAAGTTTTATTATTAATTCGACTCCTAGATGTTCAAGGTTTATATAAAAGTAAGATAACCACTTCTCCCTCAGCATAGAACAGTTAAAATATCCCGTGTTTGGTGTTATTGATTATTTCTATGACATTCACTATAACCCATTCTACATTATTCCCTATCTCATATTCTAGCATATGAAAAATGTCGACCTCATTTAAAAATTCTTCTGCCAGAAATATGACAAGTTCCGTGACTGCCTTATCGTGGATATTCAGTGAATTCTGGAACAGAGATGGCTGTCTCCACAACAGTCAGAAGAAATGTATAGCTGATGCTATTTTCAGCAAAGTTGCATTGCATGAAATCTAATTCAGTTCAGTGAATAAGCAGTACAATACCTAACTTATATAACAGTTCTATTTTCTGTCCTGTCCTTTCTTTCAAGATTCTGACACGACCACACCACATCCTTAACTGATCAGCCTGGATAGCCAAGAGAGATAAAAAGGTCATAGTGTTCGAGTGATAAACGTGAAGTACTCTTCTCTAGCTGTGAATCAGTCCTACATGTCCTACAAGTTCAGACAAACGTACATAAATTGAATTTGTCCAGTGTTAGTTTTACTCTCAAGGAATATTGCTCCACATGCATGGATATATTACCAGACTAAAATGAGTTTTCAGAGAAACAGAGTAATACCGTCAAACTCCATCAAGAGCAGCCGACAGTTTGATTTCTTTTTCAAAACTCTGTATCAAAACAAAAGCTGCATGCATAGTTTTCGTGCTTTGAAAATGTTCTGCTTGGTGATAAAGCATATGCAACTTCATCTTGGGGTTTCAATTTATTTTACAAATTAAAGGTGTTTGATAAAACTCCCAAGAACAGGCTGCAAGGCCTGTCCAGTAAAAGTAACTGCTATATTTTACTACTTATTTATGTATCTAAAATGTTGAGGCTTTGTGGCTCAATCTATGTATGTACATAGAGTGTTGTCCTGTTTCTGATTAGTTGCCAATAATTCTTTAAAGAAGTTAATTATAAATAAAACCACTGCTAATACTCCTTTCAAAAAGGCTATACTCTGTACTTTAAGGTAAAAAACTAAATCTTAAATGTTGGCAAAATAGGTTGTTGTTTTTTTTCAAAATACAGTGGTCTACAATGATCACATTTTACAATTACCTGATAATCGCTAAAAGGAAGTTTGGGTTCTGTTAAATTTTGTATCTCAGATATTACATATTTTGCTTTACTTTGCAAGAAGCTGAAAAGAAAACCATGCATTTCAGGCATAATCTCCATTCAGACAAGCTTTTGGCCCATATTAACCACAGTTCCTTTTCCAAGAGCTAAATTCCTAAGCGGGAAACAGGCATCTGGAGACATGATTGATGGAACCACAAGTAAGCAGTAACAGCACATTCTCAAGATCGAGCTACTGTTACCATAATATGTTTTGTTGCCAAAACTGTATTTTGTTGTATTTTATTATATTTCCCACTTCCTACATCTTTGTGATTATTTTAATATCTTTTTGGGTTTAAAGTTCTATTTTATTTTGACTTCATACTATAAGCCTATCAGCAATTTTCACAGCGAGCTTTTTTGCCAGTGACACATTTCTCATGTATTAAAGACTCAATACCAGACACGAATGATGAAAAAACAATATTTATATAGGTCACACAGGATTCTGATATATATTGAACTTAAACATATGATACCCATTCCCTTATACAGATTGAGTATTGAGTATATACAATATTCTATAGGACATAGAATATTGTATATACAATGTACATAATAATGCTTATGTGTGAAAGAATGGATAGAATGAAATAGGAAAATTATCTTCTTTCATCACAACAGTGACCTTTAACAGAATTAAAAATTGCATTATTAAACTAATTGTATGGATATTTGGAAAAGTCTGGTATTTTTGGATAGGATAAATCATGTGTTGGCCGGCCATGGGAAAAAGAAATTTTTGAGGACCTAACCTGTTTGTCTTAAAGTACCCTGAATGCTGTGAAGTCAGTCTAGATTTTGGATTTTATTGAAACTGAGAGAGTTGTAATTCACACTAATCTTTTGCTGGAATGTGATAAGGCAAATACTTATCCATGTGCTATCCATTCTCTAGAAGTTCCAAGAGTCAAAATGTCTTTGTTAAAATAAGAAGAGATTTTTTTTGGGAATTCAGAACAAAGAAACCAAGTGAGATGTGCACAGTCTTGTTTTACTGTCTTCAGCTGTGTTCTTGGACCTGTAACAGTCATATCAACAGAACACTCTTCATAGTGTCTGGTAAGACTACTGTAGATTATTAAATAATAAAATGAGTAACCAACTGAGTATTGGTTTTGATGTCCCAATTCTATGATCTTGTTAACATATGGAATTCCACTAAAATAAACATTATTACAGTATATTATCTTTTACTGAGTTAGATTTGAACAGTTAAATTTTGAACAGCAAATAATATTAATGTTAATATTCAAATTATTTCATTTTCAGCAACAATAAATAAAAATATATTCCTTCATCTAGGGTTTCTTCTTGACTTGATAGCTAGCAGTGCTCACTTGCTTTTCCTGGATGTAACTAATTTCTTAATATCTCTGATCCGCATGTCGGTGCCATCAAGCTTTGTCAAGCGCAGGTTCACATTTTTACATATCTCACAAGGTAGCACTTCCATGATCCAGTGGCAGCTTGATGGCCGACAAATCTCCCAAAAGTACAGGACCACGGACAAATGTCGAGTATGTGCCTTAGCCTAGATCTCCGTGACGTCGTCACTCATTCCAGTGCCCCCTTGGTGTGATGGCTGCTGGCTTCACTGGTTTCTCTTCATGCCCACTTCTTGACGAAGACTTGAGGGTTTTGAGGATTTTGATTAAGACCACTCCAGATGGAACCAGGCATGGAAAACCTCCCAGCCGTTCCCCGCCTTTCCTTGATGATTCATACTGAGTTGGCCGGGTGGCAGTGTACCGAGAGCTCTGTGGCTGTAGCCAGCGCTCTTCAGCTCACCCTCCTCTGCCGATTGC